ACGAGATGAAGGGAGAAGAGGAGGAGGAGGGTAATCATTTTCCGTGTCCTCCTGCTCCTCCTCCTCCTTCTCTTCCTCCTCCTCCTCCTCCTCCTCCTCCTCCTCCTCCTCCTCCTCCTCCTCCTCCTCCTCTTCCGTCGGTTATCCGAATTGGGTTCGAGGGGGTCTCGTAGCAAAGTTGGGGACTAGGAGAGGACACAAACACCTCCGTTCGGGCTGCGAGCAGGAGAAGGGTTCAGTAGGGCCTCCGTTGGCGAGAAGAGGCGAAGAAGATTGAAGGAGGAAGAAGAGAAGGAAAAGAGAGGAAGCGAGAACACCCCGTGTCTCTCTCACCTCCTCCTCCCCCCCCTCTCTCTCTCTCTCTCTCTCCCGCTTTCGAACGAGAGGATGCATGAGAGACTGCTCCAGACCGTGGAGAGCGGGAGAGGGTGCTGCCTTGGGGTTCATTATTCAGGGCTATTGATTTCCATCCACCTCCTACCATCGGACCACCCAACGCCACCGGCGACCATGAGTGAGGGAGAAAGAGGAATTGAGCGATGGAGATGGAACGAGAGCGAGATTGACGGGTGGCTGTTCTCTCTTGCGAACTTCCTATCTCTCTTTCTTTCTCTTTCTTAGACCCTCAACATTTCTGCTCCCAGCATGCTGCGTCAACCTACATACTGACTGACATCTGTTTAAACCGAGCCGCTCGCTCATGACGAGCCTGCGTCTTATAATATCGGTCCGTTGCTTACGGCCTCCCGATTTAATCCGTTTATCGATTGGACATTACCTCGGTGAGATCAAGTTCGATGTGGGAAATGGAAACCCATGAACGAGTAATTGATTGTGGTGCGTGTATATTTTACTTAAAATCTGTCGGGTCGATGCAGAATGAGATATTATTTGCGGTAACCACGACACTAATATGGGTAATACGAAGAAGAATATTAGAGACATATGTGATAATAACTGCACAATATTATTAATATAATGCAACATTGATATGACATTGATAAAAATAGTATATAAAATCGGAGTTATTTTCCGCACAAATCGCCTGTCAAAAATTGTGATAGACGCGAATCGATGTTGTCTCGTAAATATAGGTGTCAAAAGTATGCTACGTAGAATAATGCCCGGTACCAAATTCGTCGCTCTTTTCCCCCCCTCGAAATTGTCTACTTTTGCAAATTCCCGCGGAGTAGCGTCATCCTTTGCCGATCCTTCATCTCGGATTCGGATTTCTCCGTCGTTTCCTATGGAGTTGACGGAGTTGGGAAGAAACTTCCACCGAAACTTTCCACCCATAACGGCGGTCCGATAGGGCTCTCAAGCTTTCTCTTCGGAATTTCATGCCTTGGGTTTCCTGTTTGTGGAGGATCAGCTTGAGGATCATGGATAATACCGCAAGACCAACGGCCAATCGGTTTTATCCCTTTGTTTTCAAATCAGTATGGATAAAATATCGCATCGTCCGCCCAACGAGAAGTTCGTGCTTTATCGTACCGATGATATACGTTATTAAATCTTTTCATTAAATGTATTTCATTCGTAATGTATACGCGGTCATGTTAACATCATGGTGCATTCACAATGAATGATTATTAATTGAAGTACATACGACAAAAATAATTGCATAATATACGAAATAATGTAATATTAATATATGGACTGTTTTATTAACAATCGCATAAAGCTAGAGCCATATAAATCACCGAACGGATTTTACGTGTTTTATTTTAGCCTCTTTTTTTCCACCTGGAAATGAGATGATAATAATAATAATTTATTCGTCATTCGACGCATTTGTCAAACACGTTTTAATAATAAGTGATTAGAATAATCGAACCGACGGGACGTGCTCGCTGCTACGTTGTCTGAGCACATCTCGCTTTTACTACTTGCGCCAGATAGAGCTATGAATTCGTGACGGTTCCGGCACTGTGGTATCATTATACATAGAATATTTCGTTGCTACTTTCACGCCATACCGATCTCTAACCTTCCTACGTCAACGGCAAACAAGAAAATGGCCAATGCGAGTCTAAGGCAGGATGTGGATAGCCTATGCTTGTAATTTTATTAAATTGTGAATCCGTGTACCGTTTCATTCCACATTTGTCCCGCGCGCCGTTTTCTTTTCGGACATAACGCAGTTTTCTTACAAGTGGAGTTTTAATCGTCAGTGAATTCACATGTTCAAATCGATAAACGATTTGTAATTATATTAAAAATGCTACGTTTTAGCATTTTTAGATGCTACATTTAGCATTCAATCCCCCCCTTCCCCGTAATGTAATTTATTCTTATTGCGAAAAATATTACCTCAGCCAGGATTCGAACCTGGGACCTTCCTCAATCCGTGACGGGCGTCTCCCTGCGTCATTTAGAATTTATTATTTTAATGTGCAACGTCTTTATTAGGTACCACGTATATAACTTATTTTCTCTTCGCACAACGCAATTTCGATTGGCTTGAATCGCAAGACGCATTAACGGGTTTATGTATCTTGTTTTTCTATCATATCCTCCACAGTGATCGCACTTGTGCGTTTTGAGGACCATAAATTACATCTGAATCACACGCGAGATCGGGCACACTCGAGATTACAGTATGCACGTGTTACAATCAATTACTAGTCACGGGTGCCCGTTTTTCCATCTCGAAATTGATCCAGTATGCGAAAGCAGCACGGGTTTGTTCTCTTTGACCGTGCCCAACGTGACGTAACGTAAAACCCCATTAGGTGTTAGCTCCTCCGTCGACGGTTAAACCGTTACTCGGCTGCCGTTCGTAGGTGGAACGAGTCGCGCCAGTGGTATTGGTGGGTGGTATATACGTAGTCGGCAGCGCCGGCAGAGAGGGAGAGAGAGTGAGAGAGGGAGGGTGGGAGGGAGAGAGAGAGAGAAAGAGAGGGTGAGAGAGGGAACACCGGCGCGCAGGGGTGTACTGGCACTGTGTGTGCCTATAGGGATTGCAGCTGCCGCGGGCGCCGGCGCGAAACCGTCGCTCGCGAGACCACCTCCGCGTGGTGGGCTCGTGACGTCAGCTATCCTCAGTGTGCGGAGAGCGACCGCAGTGTGCACCATCTCCACGTTTTGGTAAAAGAGGCGGCGTCGTTGCCGGAGTGCACGAGTTGTACATCGCCGTTGATCGTACGACGATCAGCTGGAGACGATCAGCAGCTCGTCGTACGGCCCCCCTTCATTTTCCTCCCCCACCCCCCTCCGCCGACGTCACTCTCCTTATCGGATGACTGCGTGAGCTCCGGAGGGATCTCCGCGACGAGACTTGGGACACGCGCGCTCGAGGATCTCGGCCGGATTTTCGCGTCGGTGGGCGAGGACGCGTCGTCGTCCGCACCAGCTCGCGCGATTTTTCCCTCCCGCGGCTGGACCCATCGCGTCCGCTCCGTTTCGCTCCGCTGCGAAGTGACGCGACCCTTTCTTCTTGATGTGTACGACGACGACAACGAGGCGGAGGACGGTCGGTAGTTACGCGGACGACGCTCTCGCCGGCGGTACCAGCGTTCCGGAGTCGAGTGACACCTAGCACGAGGAGGGTTCGTCGCGGGGACAACGGGGTGGCGAGTTCGAAACGGCGATACTTGTCCCGCGTATCGGTGGTGTTGTTATTGATGTTTTGCTCGTGACGTTTGTGTTAAAACGTAACGTGTACTGACCACGCGCGCCGTTGTCGGGCTTTCTGAATTGGACCGCGAGCCTACGAGATTCAGTGCCGGTTTTCCGTTCTCCGTTTTAAGACACGAGAATTTCGCCCCGTCGCGGTGCCCCGCGTGGTGGATTAACTCGACGTTTTTCGCGGACCAGTCGATCGCAGCCGAGATCGGGGACACGTGGAGTCTTGGATCGGATCGCTCTCGACTCACGTGGTCGTCGTACGACCGGCGGCGCTCGTGGTCGTGCGTCCGCGACTCTCGCGTAGTTTAGACTTGTCGCGGGTGATCACGCGGATAGAAGGATCTTCCTCGCGCTCCCGTAGAGCGACAACTCCGGTATTCATGGTGCCTCCGGGCACGCTCGACGTTAATCCGCACGTGAACGTCAACTGTACTCGGTGAGTGTTCGCTTGTTGAGGACAGGCGTTTCGTTTGTGCGCGACGCGACGACGCGTTCCCCATTCTGCCTTCGTCAACGAACGAAGCGTACATGTCACGAATAGAGGGAGAGGGATGACGACGCACGAGCACCGCGATTCCGTTGAAGGGAACAGCGTGGACTCGTGAAGAACGGCGACTGTGCGACTGCGAGAGGCGAGAGGACACGGGGCGGCTCCACTCGTGGCTTGCGACTCTTCGTGGGACTCCCGAGATCCGCAAGCACGCGGAATCAACCAGGCAGCGTGGAGCGCTCGGCGATTGTGTGGCCGCGCGCCGCGGACCTTTATCTTTATCAGCCAGGTACCGATTGTAGCCCACAGCGAAGATTACCTTCCGCAATCCGATTAGCCGATGCCGTGCGATACGCGTATCACGTTCTTTAGCTTTCAATGCGAGGACAGGCAATTTTTGCAGTTTTTTATTTTACGGAGTTACGTCTCTCAGCTCAATAGCAACTTAGTGGCGCCAGTCGAGAAATGAGGAATTTTAATAAGTGTGGAAAAAACCTTTACTGGCAATTCTTTATTATAATAAATCGCAACGTTTCGGCCAGTAATACTGGGCCCTCTTCAGGTAACGAAGTTACAAAAGTACCTACAAATGTCCGAAGAACAGAAAAGCAACATATAAACTAAATTAAGATGAGATCTTGCGTAGCAGAAAATGAAATTTACGTCTCTCACTTTGACGCTGTTGCGTTTAGCGGCGACCGCGGCACCGCGAGAATCGTTTGCTCCGGTTCAGAGCAGTCACTTTCGATCCTCCGCTAAATAAACATCGGTACACCCGTGGGAAGTGTCTGCAATTTACTCCAACTCGTATTATTTATCCGTTCGGCTCAGCCATCCAGATTTCGAGTTGCATAATTGCTATAGGTAAAACTTCTGGGGTGGGAATACTCTATTCTAAAAAGTGTACTATGACGAGCTAATTTCCATCATCACGCGAGTTAACAGGCCCTCAGATTTTCGTATCTCAACAACGACTGATCCGATGAACTTCTAAGTAGACTCAATCGATAGCTTGGGTTCGATTTGCATAATAAAAGTGATTTTATTTTCCTCCTACGTGACCCACGAGTGCACGTATTTAATTACTTGATTATTTGATTATTGTTAAGATTGTCCGATTAGCCCACAGTTGTCCTATAATGTGACGAACTTACAAAATTGTTGATAAAGTATTTCGTTACTTTGCACCTTTTAGAGGAATCAGTCGAACAGTTGGATTTACGTGCTTTAAGGGGATACTGGAGTGACTCTGCACTTTTGGCACCTTTTGATCCTAACTGTCAATTCATGAAAACATTTGTGTAATATACAAATTATGTGGCTTTTGTGTACAGACCGACAGTGTCCCACTATTCAGATTAAGTGAAAGAACAGCATGGTATCGTTGAAATTAAGTTTAGGAGCTTAACAAGAATTCTATAGGTTACCTAACCTATAACTTATTCGAGTGAATAGATTTTTGTCAGGCTTCTAATCGTAATTTCAATGATATCACGCTGTTCTCTCATTTAGTCCGAATAGTGGAACACTGTCGGTTCGTACGCAAAAGCCACATAATTTGTATATTACACAAATGTTTTCACGAATTGACAGTTCTGGGGGCAAAAGGTGCCAAAAGTGCAGGATCACTCCAGCATCCCCTTAAATGGCAGGGAGATGTTAGTTTTCCGCGGGAAGAGCTACTTTGCATTGCTCGCTGTATATATCTATTTATGAAGGGCGCGAAGGATGGAAATGAAAAGGGATAAGTTATTGCGTAGATACTTGACACGATTTATGCTCCGTGGGCTATCCTCGTTTTAATATCCGCCGGCTCGCACGAATTTTACATTTTCTACCTCCACAATTTTACATGACGGCGCGAGCCTCGAAAAAAGATGGCGAAGAACTTCTCGCGGTATGTCGGCCCATTCTTCAGTGACTGCAGCTGCGAGCTTTCGCCGCTTCGCGGGTGCATTCTTGCACCGCCGTTTGTGGGAGCATATTCCAAGTATGTTCAATAAGATTCATATCCGGTGACAAAGGGTGTGCTATTTTTCCGTGACATTGCATGCTTTGAGCATTTTTAAGCGAAACGCGTATTTTTCACGAGTCGAGGCGCAGCATGCTGGTATCTCTTAAGATAATAATGAAATCTATCGGTAATGCTTCACTAACGACACGTATACACAGCCTTGGCCGAATCAGGCACCCTCATTATACTGTACTGAATCCAATATCTGGATAGACTTTTATTGTTTAAAAGTTGTTTACCACATAGAAGCAACGAATGTTCTAGCAAATAGTTTTTAAACGATGCGAATCTCCTTGATATTAGATGTGGTACACGGAGAGAATTTTCTCTTAAAATTTTCCCCTAAAAATCATGCAAGCGTGGGACAACACGGCATTTCGAAGAGTTTTATCAACTTTTTTTGAAATTTTTCCAGTAAAATGTATTTACTGGTAAATTTTCGAAAAGCTCATAAAATTTTTCAAAGTGCCAAGCTGTCCCAAGATTACATAATTTTCAGATAAATTTTACGAAAAAATTCTCCCCGTGTACACAATTATGACAGTACCTAACAATCTCGGCCAAGGCTGTATCCTGTCTGTAAAAGTGCTGCTTTTGTACAAGCGCGAATCTTTAAAACGAACTCTGACGATATGCTAATGATGTATCAGTGGTATAATATCTCCATTTCCGCGTAAATACTCTGGGCATCAAACTCGAGAGGGAAATGGCGGGTGGGCGAAGCTGGGAAAAGTTTAAAGGTTACTGATTTTCGGTCAGATTGAGCGACGTGGTAAGCTATCTCCTTCGGTTTCCGAGCAGTGCGGCAGCGGTAGGTTTACGGATTTCCGAATGAGTTATGTACACGCCCGACGGTGGAAATTGCCGGGTAGAATCGGGAGAATCGGCGCGGCGAGGGTCGATTAAATTTTCGCGTTTTTCGTCGCGTCGCGCGCTCGACGCCCGGGCCGGTGCCACTTGAGTTTTGGTTTTGGCACCGCCTCCAAAAGTGTTTCCCTATATTTGCAATCGAGGCAGGTTACAGCCTGACCCGAATCCTTAAGCTAGACCACGGTCACGGGATGCCTCGGCGAGCAGGCACGTAGTAACCTACACGCCAGGCTGTGCCAGGAGCGTCTTCCTTCCTTCCTCCTTTTCCGCCGCTCGGTTTATTCCCTTCTTTCCCGTGGCCCTCGTCTGAAACTTCGCCTCCTCGCTCTATGCCTCGCAAGAATATACTCGATATAAAAGCGGTCGAATCTAGAGATATTATATGAGTCAAAGGAAGGTTTAAAGCAAGCACGGAATAAACGTATCGAATGAAAATTCTGCGCCCGCCGGTATTGTCTCTCCGTATCAAAATTTGCCTTTTACCGCTATTTCGAAATATCTTCTCGAGCTAGGAGCTTGGTCCAAACGAGATTGGACGTTGTATTTTTTACCGTTAAATTATTCCTCAACATTGAAACCTGTCTATGTCAATTCTGTGAAATCTTCTGACCGACACACAATATCGAATAACGTGCCTCGCAACGGAGAAAATCTAATCTCATTCGTATTATCTCTCTGTTCTACTCTCTATTGAAGCGGTTAAGCTGGGGAGTTTCTTTTTTTTGTTATAACATATCTCGCCGCAATACTTGAAGGGCTCTTCAGTATTCCGGACGCATTTCCAATGCGATGTTGGTAAAGAGTCGCACTTGTTGGCGTCCAGGGACATGGGGACATTGGACGTGGAACACCGAAGAGCCGGTGGAGAAAAGGTAGTAGTGGTAGAGGGCGAGGATCGTACTCGGAGGGACACTGGAAAGCGAAGCGAGTGCGCGGTGGTCAGCCTGGAGGGTCTCTCGGGAGATTTCTGGACCGCAGTCCTAAATCAGGTTTCATTCCCCTGGCGAGTCTCTGGCACCTCGAACCCTTTCTCTATCCCCCTCCCCCCCCCCCTCCTCTCTCGCTCTCTCTCTTTCGCACACATTGAACCTTGCTTGCGATATATTGAACAAAGCATACGAGCGCCAGCTATTTCTTTTTTTCCACGTCTGACAATTTTCCTCGACGTGCCGAGTAGCGTCGAGCGTGGAGAACGTAGAATAGCCCGAGCTGAGGAAATGCTCAAACTTCGCGACATGATAGATTTGACGATCAGTCCTCTATCATCTCGGCTCAATTTTTCGGAAATGGACCGAATGAAAGGCCGTTTATTCTCGCGGACTGGCTTCGGCGGTGTGGTATTATCTCGTGTGCGAATGTGTAAAGTCGAAGGTAATGAGAACGTTGCTATAGCGAAGGATGATCGTTCGACCGGGAGATCTGTACTAGGCACATGCATTATCACAAACGATATCGCCGTAGCGCAGGCGTGGATTATATACACCAACACGGCTATACATTCGAAGACACGTGCGCGTAATAAGATAGCGAGAACACGCTCGGATACGAGACATTGCAGGAACGAAGGGAGGTAATTTCTCGTCTTGTGCAAATAACTTCCTCAATCTTCCTTGGTCTTATCGACAGCTTTGCAGGAGGTGAAGTTAACGCACCTTCGTACATTTATAAATTTTCTACGAGTTCGTGATAATTTGCACAACCATTTTCCCATCTCCTCTTAATTATCAAACGTAATTACATATATAGAATAAAACAACACTTACTTCTATTTGTGGCCAGCACAGATAAGATGGGTTGTTCAGGAGAGAGCGAGGGGGAAACCGCTCCCCAAAATCTTGTACTCCAATGCCCACTAATGTTCAATGGGTATTACTTTATCTTATTATTTTATTTTATCTTATTTATCTTGGTTTATCTTATTTTATCTTATTTTATCTTTATAATGTGGGGATCACGGACTGGCGGGGAACACACATATACTCAATCAGTAAGGAAATATGTATATATTGAGTCTCCCGTATTTTTCCGTGTACAGATTACAAGTTAGATCTTACAGGTTTTGGTTACACCTGTATCCTCGCGTTCCTGCTTTCTTCTCTACTCTCTATCACCGCCTTTCTACTTTCTTCTCTACTCGCTATTCTCACAATTTCTTTCTTATTCTCATTCTCAACTCTCTATCTTCTCAATATCAACCTCGCTCGCAATTCCCTTCGCCTGCTCGTTACGCACCTAACTCTAACTCTATCTTTTCTCTCTTTCTCGCGCGCTTTTTCCCTGTCGCTCGCGTGCAATCGTCACCTTTCTCAATATCGCGCAATCCTCTCGCACACACACATACATACACATTCATACACACGGAGGCTCCGTCACTACAATAATGACCCAGCAAGGCCTAATGCCCA